ATAGTGCAAAAAGCTAGAAACCTGCGCTGCGCTTCACATTAAAATCAAAAAGTCGGATCATAATTCAAAGAAAAGATGATTAAGAATGAACTAAAATATTTGTACAATAAAATCAACAATTAGAAATCTATCAAAATAACATTGGGAACATATAAAATAGTGATGTTTTACGTACAATTCTGTTTATTATATTATTATAAATGTATTTACATTGCAAATTATTTCTATAAATTCTACTGTAACTGATTCTTATGACTATCAAAACAAAATTATAAAGAATGTATGTTATTTTTGTATGAAAACATGCCAAAACCCCTATTAAGGGGACAATTTCACATTTTTGGTTAGTGTCTCCTTGATAGGGGTACCCCTATTCAGGGACACCCCTATTATGGGGACACTTTTTTGGTCCCGAAGGTGTCCCCTTAATAGGGGTTCTACTGTATTAAAATTAGGTTCACTCTCAGTGGGTTAATGCGGCGCTTATTCGAGAGCGGTGCCTATCTCAAGAGCGGCGCCTATTTTAACATCGTGCATTTGCGGTACCGGTATATTCCCACTATTTTCAAAATAAGCCGCTATTTTTCGAAAGTTATATGGAGCTCACGACGAGATAGACAAAACCGTGGTCCATAGTTAGATATGCATTGACAACATGGGCGCAGATCGGGCACCCCCACATATTTTTTAGTATGTGGGGGTTCGTATGCAATGTAATTGATAAGTGAAAATTGCTGAACTGAACTGCATAAACGACCAGGTTTTAGGAAAAGATCACTGTACTGGCAGAGAACCAATCTTGACACACTTTTTCACATACTTTTCAAATTATAAGTATCTTTTTCGGCCATCTAGCGGTACTATTTCCTCATTTTTTTTTTCATCTTTGTACCTCTTTGTAGGTATTGTTTGAAGGAGAAATTCTCTCAGCACAATGTTAATTAAGCTTAAAGTTTCTGTGGTACCAACAATTTCTCATCATAGCAGTGTCATTTTCGACCATAGAGCTATCTTCCTCAATTTTTGTGTGACCACGCCCATCCAACCATGGTAAGCTGAGGTGGGCGTGGTCACACAAAGTGTCCCCCACCCTCCACCACTTTTCGAAACAGATCTGCGCCCTTGACTGACAATATGCTGCATTTTTCAGAAAACTTTTTAATTATACCAATGTATTTAAGTCGTACATACGAGATAATAAATCGTACGTACGAGATAATAAGTTGTACGTACGAGATAATAAGTCGTACGCACGAGATAATAAGTCGTACGTACGAGATAATAAGTCGTACGTACGAGATAATAAGTCGTACGTACGAGATAATAAGTCGTACGTACGAGATAATAAGTCGTACGTACAAGATAATTTTTAATTTTTTTTTTTACCCATGTCCCTAATGGGGCTTCGTACAAAACCAATTTATTTAGTAAAAAAATACTGATAAATTATTTGATTGCAAAGAATCGTAAATTATTCTTACCTGGGATTATTAATGTTTTCAAGAAGAAAATACGGCCAATTTTTTTTTTAAACCCCGCAGGGGACGAAACTGATCAAAAGCGATTAAAAAAGGCGCAGGGTAAGGCGCGGTGGGGTTCTCTAGCGACGTAGTCTTGATAATCCAGCAAAAACAAACAGCCCACGAGATTTAAAAAATATACCACTTCTTGGCAATGACATGTCGACAATACATATTGGTATATTGTAATATAGGCTATCTCGACATATACAAGGTTTGTTTGACATAACATATACTGAGATATACATGGCCAGCGAATTGGGTGTTTTATTCCAAATGAGGCTCTAGTGGGCCTTTATTCGAATAATGTGATATGTCATAATGTATTATTAATAACAGTCAATTTTAACTATGACTATTACTTTTTAATTAATTATTATTTTAACATTTTAACGAATGCTATGAAAAATATAGATCTAGAGCTTAAAACACACTCAAAGGTGGATTTTTTTTTTTCTAATAAAGTCAAAAATGACCACCGAGACCTGAGAGACTGCAAGTGAACACGGTATCGGCAGAAGGGTAACGACAGGAATGGCATTTGAATTTCAAATCAAACAGGCTAGAAGTGGGAAAAGAATTTTAAAACAATAATGAAAAACTAAGAAGATATCTAAATAATAAAATAAGTGTATAATACTCTATTACTTGGAAAGTAAAATTTAAATTATTTTCACATTAGTCTTCCAGCTACGTTAGAAACACTGGACTTTTTGAGGCCCTACACTCCAGCGGGTGTTGAGGGAGGGTTCACTTTGTGAGCTCGCTCCTTGCATTAATGCAACGACTCAGACCGTGCCGACGCCCGTATGTATATTTTCCTGCAGGCTCCTCCTCCCTCATCATTATTAATTTTCCATAGTGAATTATGGAAAAATACGAATTCGTATTCATTCGTCTGTAAATGCAAGAAAGTGCTTTTCCAGCAATTTGAAAATCCCACCGCTCTCCTCCTCCAACACTGGCCAAAATTTGTCTTCCAGCGACAGAACAGCAACACTCTCTTCTCACGACCACCCCACCCCGGGACCTATAATGTGTGTTTACCCTGATATCCACAGTCTGGATCGGCGCCTGGAAACAACTTGGGTAGGCCACCAACATACCCGTTAACTCAAACAAACGTCCTTCACCTCACTCGTACATCGTATTATAAAACTCATAAAATGCATCTTATCGTATTAAAATGCATAACCGTAAGTAACCACAATCAAAATGAAATTTCAAAACTATGGTGTAGGAAACCAGATGAAAAACTTCACCCTGGAGAAAATTGTCTGGAATCGTCTAAAAAAAGTGTAGAGCGGAGTAGATAACAGGTTGCTTATTCGTTTTTGTTGTAGATAATAGACTATAATCTTTGCACAAAACAGTAACATACACTTTCACCGGAGACGTGTTTCCTGGGTTTATAGCTTGATAAACGAACATTAATCAATCATTATTCCTGATAACAATCGTTTGGCTCATCCATTGTTGAGGTAAGGCAATATCATAAACAATAAAGAGGAGGTTCATATACTAGGCCTTAAATTAACATACAACTGATCTGACAAACTTCTCAGCATTTGCACATTATATACAGTAACTCCTAAATGGTCGAATCTCAATAGACGTTGATCTGAAGTGCAAGTGGTAATATAGAATTACCTACTTTATCTATGAACATAAATTTTACCTACTAGTTAAATATATGTAACTCGCGAATAAAAGTATTAACATAATAATTAAAAAACAACAACAAAAAACAGGCCTAAGCGTGGATGATGTTGAATGATAAGAAAAAAAATCAGTGGTACCATTTGGAGGTAGTGTACTTTTCCACAAATATTCAAGAAAATATTATTATTATTACGACTGATTATTTTCAATTATTTTCATGTAACACCTAAACTATGAATGGTCGAGACTTATGGAGATATAGGCCTAACTGAAGTGTGTGCAGTGCCAACCAACCCTGTAAAGTCTGACCATTAATTTAGGGCATAAAATGTAATGACGACTTAAGGCCTACACAAATGTAAATGACGGATGGAAGAAAGCTATGCGATACGGTATCATGATGGAAACGATTGATGTGAATGATGTGGATGCTAAAGGTGATGGGAAGAGGATTGTGAACCGGAACTTTATTGTGTTTATTCTTTGTATGTGTATATTATCCATAGGTTTAGGGCTTCTCATCGGTTATTTTACGTTTCCTAAAACGCTGCGTAGTCCATCGAACTCACCAGTCGAAGAACAAACAGATCATGAATGGGTGTCAGAAACTCTGATGAACCATATTGATGTGGCGAAGATCGAAGACAATCTGAGGTAAGTTTATTATTCTATTAAGTTCAGTATCAACTGCAACCAAAGTACATTAACATCAAGAAAACTGTACATTACTTTAGTATCGATATAAGATGATATATCATTCGTAAAACAAATAATGAGTGTGTAGGGGGCGAGTTTGTAGGGTGCGAGTTTTAAGGGGAGACATTGCAAGGGGCGAGTTGACTGGTTCCATTTAAAATATTTTCTATCAATTTAAACGTAATTCCATATGCCTAAACCAGGGGTGAGCATAAAAATCGGTCGGAGGGCCAAAGTGAATTTTTGATTTAACATCGAGGGCCGCACCCAAACTTTAATGTTTCCATGAGCTTCCAAAATCCTCAAAGCACTGCTTTTACACCACTTTATTATAAGTTTTATGTCACTTTTTACATATAATCAGCGTCAGGCAGTAAAAACAAGGTGTTTTCTAGCCAATGTTGCTTGGCGGGCAGCACACATAGGGTTTTTAATATTATTCATTATCGTGGGCCACAAAAAGATTGTTGTCGGGCCTCATGCGGCCCGCAGGCCGCACTTTTCCCACCTGTATTCTTTACTTAATGGCATAAGACAATACTTTAATATTGTTTTGCTTTCTCTTCATAAAATTTAATTATATCCAACTGCTAGGCCTACTATTTACACTTATTTTTTCTCTCTTTTGTGGGATCGTCCCACTTTTATTTCATCATAATGTCTTAACCTACATAGATATAGAGATTACACATAACATATAGTCTACATTTTAACAGTTATTATATATATTAAGTTAATAATAGTATGAAATATATATCTGTTATGAAATTACTTAGTACATGTCTCTTTACTGTTTTACGTAATAAGTCTTCAGATATTGACTATTGTATTCTTTATTTATTTTTTTTTTTATCCTTTTCTTCAATTGCTTGTCTTCCGTAGAAGTCAACCATCACACATTTATTTATACATATATTTATTTAAACTTATCTACACTATCTACTATTTACACTTAACATAATGAATTATTTATGAATTTTATAAGAGCAGGGAACAGCGAAATTACAATTTCACTGTTCCCTGATAATAGCGTACTTAAAGGTCAATCTATTGATACAACAATGAAATATACAAATAGGCCTACCACAATTATTATTCAAAACTACTTATATACTCGAGCAGCTACGCAATATAAAATTATCAGATGTAGAGTAATATTAACTGAGTGTCTACGTGTCCGTCTACGTGCCAAATTCATAGTAGGAGAAGATATTTATCTGAAATTTCACGTTTATGAGCAAAGGCTGGTTTGAATTTCAGAGTAACCCAAATGAAAAGATATGTTCCGCTATTTGAAATACAAGAAAATATGTCTGATTCCCTTGCGTTGGACTATTCTAGCCATTCTTTTGCGAAAACATTTCGTTACGGAAGTTTTAATTGCATCTTGATTTTTATCTCTGTTGGTCTTCTGGGCCTCGGAACTGGATTGATTATTGGATTTATAACATTCCCTGAAACTATTCGTAGCTCGGATCTTTGCACGGATAACAATGACCCCAATAAAGAATGGGTTTCGGAAACACTTTTAAATTTCATAAATGCATCAAATATTGAAGAAAATTTAAAGTAAGTATTTTTTAAATGTCATTATTATTATAATAATTATTATTAGGTCTATTTTTTTTTAAATTTATCATATACAGTATAACACATTGTTTTTTGTACAATCGTGGTCGCTGATGCAAATGGAAGATGCGCACTATGAGCACACTCTCTTCAATGCACTAGATTTAAACGCATGTTTGGAAATAATTTTAGCATTATTCATGTTTACTGGAGAAAACCTTAGTCAAATTAACTACACTATCTTAGAACTAATTAATACAATATTTTTGTATACTATTTATCAGGTATTTTGCGTCTCAGCCTCATCTAGCCGGTACACCAGCAGAGAAAGAAAATTCAGAATATATCCGTAGAACATGGATCGAACAAGGGCTGGACAGCGCCAAGCTGGTTCCTTATGACGTTTATCTTTCATATCCGGACAAGGGCAACCCTAACAAAGTAGATATGATGAATTATTACTATTAATATGTTGTAGTCAAGATTCGTTCTACGTTTTTTTTTAAATAAAAATGGTTACAGCATATGCATATTGCCTATATTATTACTTCTCATATTTACATAATAGACCTATTTCCCCACATAATCATGATACGCACGCGTATAAGTGTATATAATAAATTTATATAAATAACTGACTTACACAAATATTATCAGGTTATCTCTATCCGTATCTCAAGATTTATCTGGCCGAACGCCCTCTTGAGGCGTACCATTGTGTAATACAATGTTCCTGACGGTTATTGGGACCTGCTCAACCATGAAGCCTTCGTGGTCTAGTGGTTATGACGCTCGCCTTGTCAGCGAGAAGTCGCAGTTTCTGCGATAAACCTGCTAATATCCCGTCGGGGGAATTTTATTACACAATGACTTTTTATAGGACTACTACGATGTTCCATCATGTCCTTATTAAACACTGTATATGTACCTTTGATGATTTATATGTATATATATATATATATGTATATACATATACATACAAAAATATATACATAAGCTTGATTGGTTTTAGGTGTCAGTCTTGGAAAATGGTCAAGAGATTTTCAGCACCAGAGAGCACGAAGACATCCTGCGGCCCGAAGATGATCATCCTAACGTGGTCCCTCCATTCAACGCGTATTCTGCTCAGGGTACAGTAGAGGTAGGCACACTAGGCAATTCCTCTATAACGGTTAATTAATGACTTTCATTTCATTTCTTTAGGCACAAGTGCCAAGGATATGCCAATAAGTGAACTTAATCACTATCCTATGTGGCAAATCCGCCGGGGACAGGGGACTGAATGGACCAATACACCGGGGTAACCCCCAACCCTTCTCGAAGAATGTACTGGGTTCCTTAAGTGCACACGACACAATACGGTGCCCCGGACATAACCGCTCGGCGAATCAACTCGCTAATCAACTTTAAAGAAAAGCCAAAAAATATCACTGTTCTGCTTCTGGTTATAGGGTAACCTTGTATATGTGAACTATGCTACAGCTGACGATTTTGAATATTTAGAAAGACAACACCATGATATCAACATCACGGGAAAAATAGTGATTGCTCGATATGGTAGGATATTCAGAGGAAGTAAGGTGAGATCTCTAAACCTTTGTCTACACTATCAAATTTTCTTTGATAAAAAATAAAACTATTGTATGCCCATACTATAGTCATGATTATGCCTATATATGTCCATTCCTAGTGCAATCAAGATGTTACATTATATATATGTTAGATAGTTTTATTTCTTTGCTCTCTTTACATTTTTATATTTTAAATGTGTGTTACTCTGTGCAATAACATTGCACTAAAATATAAGATAAAAAGAACAAAGTATAAGATACAACATTAATCATGTTCTTTGTATCTTATATTTCAGTATATTAGTATTTTTTTTTTATTCATTGTACCAAGGAAGCAAATTTCATGTATTGTATTGATTACTGTATATGACCAATAAGATGAACTTGAACTTGATAATGTGATGTAATCATGACCATATTTATGCATTTCACATGTTTTTCTCAAATGCACCTTGACAGTCTGGGCAGGGCATTATTAGAATATTATTGTAATCACTTTTTTTTCAAACATGAAAAGAACCAGAGAATATGACAGTGTTGGCATTTTGTGCGTATATATTGTTTGCAATATACTTGAAAAAGTGTCTCTGATTTTAATAGCTGTAGGTTATATCAAAGAGTATAAATGGAACAAGAGAGCAAAGTCCTGTTCGTAAAAACGTCATGCCTGTGTAGGACGCCCACTAACGGTTGTATATTCTTTTTATTACCCAGTGCAGCGCTGCGCAGCGCGGTAGAAGTACGCCCGCTATAAACTCAGTAAGCAGAAAACAAAAGTACAGTATCTTGTGGAGAACAGATAAATAGACAAACCTACCGTGCGCGGTGGAGTACTGGGTAATATTATTATTATTATTATTAATATTATTATTATTATTATTATTATTATTATTATTATTATTATTATTATTATTATTTCATTCAACCTAAATTTCAAGCTACGTTTGACAATACGCCTTTTTCACGAATCGGTAGACATCTTGAAGTGATGACAAACATTGCGAATCAGCGGTGCGTAACCAACAGAAATAAGATAAGCTTTTGGGCTGATTTTCTGACATCATGTTATTTAAAAAACCCGTGGGGAAAAGCCTGCCCCCCCCCGGCCACATGGGAAGCTTAACTTTAAATATTAGGCCTACGGCGCTTTAATTAAGCCAATCATGTGGATTGTGAGCTCAGGATTTTTTACGCAGGGGGCGGATCAGCAGCTGTGTAATCGTGTGCGATAATACAAGACATCAAGGCACGTTGGGTAGGCCTATGTTCGGTTAAGCGCTGCCTAGGCGTTTATTCTGAGACAACAATACAAGCAGGTTTATTCAAAATATAATTATATACGGTGGTTAATCGAGAGAGGCTCTTTCCTGGTACTGTATTCTCTTTGAAACCTATTTCTACTCTAATAAATATAGGTAAAATTCAAAGTAACTACTGTATGGCAATCTTTCTGCGTTAGGTCCAGTTTGCCGAAGCAGCAGGCGCAATAGGAGTGATTTTCTACTCGGATCCCAAAGACTACGCATCGGACGATGCGATGGGTGCCTACCCTAACGCTTGGTGGTTACCAGGCTCGGGAGCTCAGCGTGGAACCGTGCTTGTAGGCGATGGTGATCCATTAACTTCTGGATACCCGGCTAAAGGTATATAATTAAAATAGTAAATATAATGTTTTACAGATGAATACAAATGAAAAACTGTACATATTGTTTATAATGTGCTAACCTAACCTAAAGGATATTTTCTTTTTGTATTATTAGAGTATGCCTATCGGTTATCAGATGAGAATGCGAATTTACCTAGAATACCAGTACATCCAATTGGTTACGAAGATGCTGAAAAACTCCTAATGTACGTCGTAACCAACATGATTGTCATGATTTGGTTATCTAAATATAGAATAAATATGAATGATATTATGTCAAATAAATTCAAATGTATAGACCAATACACACACACACAAACACACACACACATGGTCACTCTCGCACACTTACTTTCACAGTCGCAGATACAACTTTATACCTCTTCTCTAACGTTCAACGTTATATTTTAACGGTATTACTGCAAGACGATTGAGTGTACAAAGTACGAATTATAATCATGGCACAATATACAAACTCTAAATATGTCTTGTAGTAATGCTATAATTATATATTTTTTTTTATTACAAAAGAGGAATCTACGAGTGTGAAAAAGATTTCTCAAACCAGGATTCAAGTCCAGGGCCTTCTGATTTTTATTCAACAGACGCCTTAACCAATCGGATTATTTGGGGTTTTGTTGGGAATTCAAATCCGATCAGAAGAAATTTTTCGCACTCTTGTACATGCGTAAACAACGCTAGTTCTTGAGATCACTGCGTTACGCCCTCATCTTTAGCATTTACACGATCAAAGAAAGTTACTATTTATAAATAAACCATGGTGCCAAAGATAAAAATTTAAATGTAATGGTAACTCTATACAAGTTTCATTTAATTATAAAACTATCTTTTCGAAGACAATTGGCACACATGGCGAACGTCATAATATAACAACTTGACCACAAGTTTTTTCTCAATCCACGTGAATGTGGTAATCTAATCCCTATCATTCTTTTGAACGTGTCTGACGTCACCATAAATTGGTTAATTAATGCCACATGGACCAGACAATAACAGATCTATAAAACACGTTCTCTTCGTCTATTACTTTAAGAAACTAAGATTTTAATTGAGATACTTGTATATTGTGCAAAAACTTAAAAATATAATATTGAATATTAAACAATACTAGCTGTACCTCATTTGTTGCAGGGAACTCGGTGGTGAAGAAGTTCCAGAGAAATGGAGAGGCAGTTTAAACATCACCTACACTTTTGGACCAACTTTCAAGAATCCGAACAGGTAAAACAAACTAAATACGAAACAGTGCAAAGGCGGGTTTAGGCGGTGTGCCCCTACAATTTTATGAGCATGTGTTGTTTATTTTTTTATGACTGAAGTAATAGCTTAGTAAGCTGGCCTAAATTTAAACTTTTATTTAAAACCTCTGGAATATAAGTTATCAACCATACACGCGTCATTAGAGGACCATACTGCCATGGTCCATGGTGTTGCTTCAAACCAGCTGCATTTTTTTAAATTATTTAATAGCCCTGTCTCCCAACAACGAAGCATGAATCAGTCTCTACTAAAACTAACCATATGCATTTTTCACTTTTGATTTTATTGTTTTATCAAAACTCTCTCATCAAACCAACAGAACAATACGAATGAAAGTTATGTCTAAAAAGGAGATTCGAACAGTGTACAACGTTGTAGGCATGATCAAAGGCCGTGTCGAACCAGGTAATACCGGTAATGTTTATAATAATAGTAATAATAATTATAATTATATTAATCGATGTAATCATAACAGATAACTGACAGAATTCTAATTTTAGATGTTGGAGGTTGGTCAAGCTGTTGAATATTCTCTTTTCTCATTAAAGATCGTTACGTCATTCTCGGTAACCATAGAGATGCATGGGTTTATGGAGCAGTAGATCCATCGAGTGGCACTGCAGCATTTATGGAGGTTACAAGAGCGTTTGGAAAGTTGCTTAAAACAGGCGGTGGGTGTTTAAGCTCACTAGTTCAACAGTCTTACACCATGTGTAAACGTCATAAGGACGTGATTGTGTATACGTCATAAGTGCGCGTATGCATTATGAAGCTCTGTTCACACAGCAATTTAGTCGCGTTAACGCAAATACAACCAACTCCTTGGGTTTGTGCGCGTCAACGACATTAGTATAAAAGTAACTCAAAAGTCAACTTTAACATTTTAACCTCAATTTCTTGCGTGTCAAGTAATCATCACTAGATGAAATTCATCACAGTCAGTCGATATCGTAGAGCCCATGTTGTTCAGATATTCACTAGACACAAAAAGATGAATGTCAGTGTAGAATAAGGCTTCTCGTGCCGTCCCCCGTGAATAGTTCGCCCACCTTAATCTTAATTAAACCATTTGACATCGTAGACCAGGAAATCCGGAGACCAGATCTCCTAAGGATTTCTCCTCCGCTTAAAGAATTTGGAATGGGAAGTGCCGAACATTACAGGTTGAAGACCGCATTCACTGGGGAGGGAGAAGGGAATTTCCGTGACACCGGGTCATAGCCACGACGGCATGAATACCATACGTATACTGTACGCTTTTCCACCATTCAGAACAATGACATAGCACTGAACAATATAGGCACATACAATATTATTACTGCATATTTAAACCATGTCCATACTTATCATACCAGACAATGTTCACAATTCCATTACACTCGCCCTCGACAAGTTCATCTTGTGATGGGATAGCCACTTTGAAGAGTGTCTAAGTTCACTGTTGGGCATAGATCTATCTTTAACATAGTGCCTAAAGCTGAATAAATAAATAAGTCTCCCGCGTAAAATTAATCTTTTCCTTTTGTCCCCTACCTTCCTTAACACCAATATCAACATTTTTAAGTTTAAAATCTTACATATCATTCAATCTGTACTCAAGATAGTACACTTATTTGCACATGATTTCGCACTCCAGCTTCTATGTTTTTTTTAATTAAAATTTGCTTATAATTATAATACACAAAAAATTAATTTGATTTTAGGTTGGCGACCGCGACGGTCGATCATATTTTGCAGCTGGGCTGCGGAAGAATACGGTCTTATAGGCTCTACGGAATATGTTGAGGTAATAGACGTTATCAAAATTTAACAGAAGAAAACTATCATACATTAATCATTTATACTTATCATAATCATCATATATCATATGGTAAGTAGGCCTATTATGATAATCATATCGTATATCATAATACCATAAGCCTATATCATTTAATTTCATATCAAATATAATTATCATCGTATAACATCTACTGTATATATAAATACATAGGCCTATTATAAGCCTGATATCACTGATTAATTGGTAGCAGAGTTTTCTATACATCACCATAATACCAACAATAATTTTATCAAGCGGGCCTTCGTAAAAATGGTACAGTAGTCTTCTCATCAATTAATAAAGATCAAACAGATCATACACTACTGGAGTGGGATATAAAAATTGTATTTCAAGGTCAATGTATGACGTCACAAGTGGCTTATATCCTAATATCTTGATCTTTCTTAGGACTTTCAGCGAGTGTTAGGTGAAAGATCAGTGATTTACATCAACGTAGATTCAGCAGTGACGGGTAACTATACAATGAGAGCGAAAGCAACCCCTTCGCTGAAGAGGGCTTTATTCGCTGCTGCTAAGAAGGTACCTGAAGTCATTTAGCTCAGACCTTTTCAAGTGCGAATGGGGTCTATGCAAAATACGACAAACGAACATGTACCGTAGGGCTGTTGCAGGTTTCCCTCCAATTAAAGACCACTTTTGAGACCGGAGTTTCTATGATCTTGAGCAACTTTGGTCTGCTTAGGAATAATAAAAGATAATCTGTTAATTTGGACCAC